AGATTTAGTTAATATCAAGAACTAACTAAGAATTTAGTAAGGCATAAACAAAGACAAGTTTCCTTTCTGGCATTGTGTTCATGCCCCAGTGAATTCTTAGTTAGTTGATAACTAATGTTGATAGTTAAGAATTGTTTCATGCTTTTTTGGCGTGCACTCTAGACAAGGCTAGGGCAATATACATTTTGTATGGTTTAATGTCAATCTCATAAAAAAAGTTGTTATAATTGGACATTTGTCCATCCCAAACTTGTTTTCGTTTTGATAACTAATGTGTCGTGGACCTTTTTTAAAAGGTATTATTGAAATTTATTTCTATTATTTGTTTCAGAAACAAGGACCAAGTGGTATGAAAAGCAGTTTTAATGTGTTTAGCAGTCTTTGTTATTCAATGCAATCCCCCAGTTTGAAGGGTAGTAGAGCCTTTTGCATTTAGGTTGGAGAGGAGATGAGYCAGTGATAGATACCAAGTTGCTATTGTTCACACCCATGACCATGGCTAGGGCAAAGATATCTAGTAACAAGTTTGCAATTTGTAACCTCAACTGTCTAACTTTGATGCAGTTAGGGCTGTGGCTTCCAAGATAGCTAAAATGGAGGATTCACATTTTATTTACTTATTTTACATATTCAATTTATTCACCTCACTATACTTCCAGGTCAACCAATCATTAACAARGCAGTCATAGTTGCACCATCAAGTCTAGTTAAGGTAGACTGACATACTCAATAATCATGTTTAATATTATAATTCACTGAATACAGCATGCCTGAATATCATGAATATTGTGGTTAGTTGATATATATGATATCAATTTATAACATTTATGATATACATATGGTATTTCATAATGTTTAGAATTATTTCACGAAAAAGGTTGTTTTAGAGTACAACAGTACCCCTTTGATGTGTCAGTATAAAGTAAAAACAAAATAAAAGATAGTCTTTTAGCAGAGACAACACAGTATTTTAATTGTTATTGATGTCATCTATTATGACCAATTTTCAATTAAAGTAATTTTTCTAAATGTTAGTAGTAACCTTTTCTAAAATATAGACTAAAATATTTAGAAATGACTTGTTTAGTTTTACATATTTTGTAATAAATAAATTAGGTTAAACTGAAAGTTTTATATAATAAACTTTCTATTTAAGAAATATAAAACGGCGCGCGTGTCTCTGGCTACGCTCGTGTTCCTAAGCTTGCTTCTCTCGTGTTTTTCGAACTCGCTACGCTCGTGTTCCTAAGCTTGCTTCTCTCGTGTTTTTCGAACTCCCACCGTGTTTATATCAGAGGACAGAGACATAAGCAGCCGTTTTATATTTCTTTTATAAAATTTTTCGAGCGAAAAGAAAATTTTGCCGGTAAGCCGTGTCTCTGTCCTCTGATATAAACACGGTCGTCAGCCAATCAGAGCGCGCGTTATATATCAAAAATTTTATAATATGTATTTTATGATGTTGATAGAACTGGTACAATGAGTTGTCCAAGTGGCTTTTGGAAACAGGATTAATGCTTTGGCAATTGACTCTGGAAGTAAAGATGACATTGATAGACAATTGGGTATGTATTATAACAGTCAGCAAAAATAATTACCAGAATTGAAAACTGCTGATAAAATTGCAATTATGAAAAGAAACTGCATACTACGCACAACAAGACATTTTTGCAATTCCAATAAATAGGGCATTGCAGTTCCAGTGCGCAGCACATCGAATAGGGCATTGCAGGCCCGATGCACAGCACATTGAATAGGACATTGCAGTTCAAATGCACAACAACACATTGCAATTCAAATAAATACAGTAGGGCATTGCAATTTAAATGCACAACTCATTGCAATTCTAATGAATAGGGCTTGCACTTTCAATGTGCAACACATGATTCAATAGGGCATTGCAGTCCCAATGCACAACACCTAATTTCAATGAATAGGGCAATGCAGTTCCAATGCACAACATATTCCAATTCCAATGAATAGGACATTGCAGTTCCAATGCACAACAACACATTCCAATTCTAATGAATAGGGCATTGCAGTTCCAATGCACAACACATTGCAGTCCCATTGAATAGTGCATTGCATTTCTAATGCACAACACATTGAAATTCTAATGAATAGGGCATATATG